GTACCACATTGCAGCTCCTGCTCGACTCCCAGCCCCTCCCCCTCGTCGGGAGCTTTGACCGATTACGCGAATGCTCTCCACCGTCTTGATGCGTTCTCCAGCAAGCGGCCGGTTAGAAAACGCAAGAGTCTGGATGGGTGCTCCCTCAGTGTGGGGCGACACGAGGGTCTCAATACGATGGTACTGACCCCCCTTTGCATCTCCTTCTGGAAACTCTTTCCCATTGTCCTTCTTTTTTCCACTCGGACCTCTATCGTCGTCAGAGCTGGTGCTCACCTTACGAGAGCCGGCCCCCATCGCTCTGCTGTTTCCCACAATCTTCAAGGGGCCGCGTTTCTCATCCTGCTTACCCTTCATATCCGGAGGAGGAGAATCGTGCTTCCTCTTTGCTTTGTCATCTTTAGCCTGCGTGCCGCTCCTTTTCACAGTTCCATATCTGGGAGACGCGTTGTCAAGACCGTTTCCGTCGTCGTTGCTTGATGACACGATGGCGGCATCCCAGGGTTCATTGCGGTAGGCAGTGGGTGAGAGGTTGTGACCTCCAGTTGAGGCTGAAGAGTCAGGCATGCTTACAGGTGTGTCCATGATCTCGTCCTGTGTCGGCGTGCCAGCTGCCTCGTCTCTCACTGGGGTCCCATCCACCCCATCAGGACTGTCATCACCCAGGACCACACTAAAACCTGGATTGCCCTGCAAGAAACTGTTGATCTTAGATTCTAAGCTTGGGGGAGAGACTGCATGAGCAGCAGAACGAGGAGGTGGAGGTGGAGGGGGAGGTGAAAGCCGTCTTTCCTTCTCCCTGGGTTTGGCTTTTCCAAGCATGTCCTGTTTAAGGCTGTTACTCAGAGGGGGTTTTGGTTTTGGGGTGGTTGGGGTTACTGGGGTTTTGGCGCTTGCCGATTCTGGAGAGGTACGGGTGGAGGTTGCAGTGGAGGTGTTTGTCACACTTTGCAGCAAAGAGGACAAAGCTGTTTTGAAACAAAAACAGAGAAAATAAAATTGTGAAACATGCCAGTCTCCCCCCCCCCAAACTAAATCGCAGAATATTGTATGGGCCTAACCTGGTGTGTTGGTTTTGGACAGAGCATTGAGGATCCCCTCAGGGGTGATGTCGACACGCGACAGGATGCTGGCCAAAGCAGGACTCGGTGGGATTGCTTTGGAGGCTGCTGATTGGGCAGTGGGGGTTGTGGGGGTCCCAGGGGATGGTCGTGGTGATGGAGTAGCTGCTGACAGGCAAGCAGAGACAGGAAGGTAGATCAAAAGGTACTGCAAACCATTCATTCACTCGTTCATTCACTCATTCATTACACAACATCAATAACAACTTGTGACAGAACTCTGAAGTCCTAAAACCCTAAAATACTCGCGCTGAAAATTATGTATGAAGTAGATGTCATTTCCTAAATTCTGGTGTATTTTAACATGCTGTTAAACATATGTGTACTTACATATGTAAACACTTGATTCAGTAATTATTTTAGACCGATTCCTCGTTCAACTAGTCCATATATGCATTATCCTGTTTTTAAACTCACTCCTATGGCTAAGATAATGAAATTAATGTGAGACAATTCATCACAACAATTCAACAATGACTTAAGGGGTGCACTTGACTTTTATTGTGTTAACTGTTTATTTAGTTTTATTTGTAACCAGTCTGTAATGTGGGGGGGACGCACTAATGGTGTGTGTGTGTGTGTGTGTGTGTGTTTACGCGTGCGTCAGCATCAGGTCGGCAGTATTTGTGTTTATAGAGAAATAAACAAACAACATTACCACTAGACTTTTATTTACTTGTGTTCAACACTACTCATCTAAATGATGTTTCTCACGAAGCTTGAGGACAATAAGGTGTGGGGTTGTAAAGACATTTCAACTTTAATGCACCAGAACACACAGCGCCTTAAATTTAACTTAGCACTAAGCTAAGTTGCTAAAGAAGTAGCGCTCAATTCAATTCAATTCAAAAATAATTTATTAATTCCAGAGGGAAATTAAGTGTTGTCATAGCTCATCATACTGGTTCCATTCAAGAGTTATAGATGCTGATAGATGTGGGCAGGATGGATCTCCTGCAGCGAATATGAAAAATCTGGCCACAGACACCGATCCGGCCACCAGGATTCAGCTTGCTGTCCGATCTGGCGGGCCTCTCAGTCCTCCTGGGCAGCAGGACTGCCTGAATGCCGGGCAGAATTCCTCCCTGAGCGATGGTCACTCCTCCCAGCAGTGTGCCGAGCTCCTCGTTGCCATGGACAAACAGCTGAAGGTGCCGGGGGATGATCCCAGTCCTCCCATTGTCACGAACCGAGCTTTACACCAGCTCCAGGATTTCGGCGGTCAGGTATTCAAGCAACTCAGCCAGGTTGACGGGAAATGGTCCATGGCGCTCATTTGGGATTTGGGGCTGTAGTTGAGGTATTTGAGCTTTTGAGATGTTAATCAGCTGCTCCTGGTTGTTAAAAACACCTTGTTGTCATGGTTACGCATCATAACAAATGCCCAAAAGTAAAAAGGTTTCAGTAAAAATCCTTCCAGCTGCACAGCATCCGATACCAGAGGAAATAATCATCTGAAAAAAAGTAATTTACATCCAGAAAATAGAAGAGTTAAAAGTTTTCAAAAGCAATAACTCAAAATGAAAGTAACAGAGCTGCTCCAACATGCAGCCACTCTGAGCAGCGCAGTTCTAGAACTTCTTAGACGACTTCTTCCACTTCTCTCAAGCATCCTAACATGTATATACAGTATGTCTATTATCCTAACTCCCCCGGTCAATAACTGCCTGCACCAAGCTCGCTAAGCTGGTGAGTGAGCAACACAGTCTCCACCTCCTCCTGTGAGCGTTCTGCCGAGGCAGGAGACGCAGAGGAGAAACACCGCTGGAGCGTTGTAGATAACCAGGAAAACCTGGAGTGGACTTTTAGTGGTTTGAGTAGTCTCCTATTAATCAAGTGGAATGGATTTGTTCACAAAGAAATAGAAACAGCGTAGAGTGAATTAATGTTACATGGTAAATGTGTGTGTGTGTATGTGTGTGTGTGTGTGTGTGTGTGTGTGTGTGTGTGTGGGGGGTCCAAATGAATATTTTTTTTAAATGTGGGGGGGACATGTCCCCTTCACATATAAAAGTTGCGACATGTTTGTAACACAACTTGCCATTGTGCTAAGCAACGGTGACACTGAACTGCTTGTTTAAAAATAAGAAAATTAACTTTACCCAATGAACAGGTGCAACTTTAATACAGATAACCACCACCAGTGAATTTAGGATGCTTTTTATTTTTTTCTGATTTAGTGATAAGTCTTCTCATAACAAAAAATGACCTGGGATCATGGAGCCTTCAAAACACTAAATTACACTGTGCCAAGCAAGTGACACAAAATAACAATAAAAACTTTTATAGTCCGTTTTGTCAACCAGCATGTAATTATTAAAACTAAATAATTCACAGGGTCCTTCTTACCTTGGTGCCACAATTTCTACACTTCATAACTTTTATTCCCCTTTCCTTCACAATCCTCCTGGAATAACATACATCTCTCTTCTCCTGTTGTTTTCAACTATTCCTTACCCATCGCTGATTTTAACTATTTTACTGCACAGAAAACTTGTGTCACTTGGGTTCTTTCTCCCTAACAAATTTCTCCTTCAATTCTCTATGACACCACCAGGCATACTTTTCAACTCTTAGGGCAAAATGTTGGTGTGACAGACATTGTTCAAATGTTGACGTAGCGCTAAGATAATGGCACACAATACAGATGCGGTAGCTAAGATGATACAGACATAGCGCTCCACTTTTCTCACGCAGCCTAAGCTAGCTCGCAACACCCCTCCACGTCTCCCCCTCCTCCCCCTGCATCATCGACAAAAAAAACTAAGAGATGAGCACACTGCTAAGCTAAGTGACTGAAGAGGAATGCTGTTTCTTAAAGGGAAATTATGCCATCCACCATGCCTCTGACGCACCCACCTCCCATCCTCCAAAAAGAATAATAATTAAAATAAATAAATAAATAAAAACTCTTCGGATCTACATGATTCACGTAAATTCCATATTTTACTTGGAAATCAGCAAACTTGGCCGAAAAGTGGCAAGTTTGCATGACCGTATGATAAACACACCTGTATTCTTCATGGCAGATGTGAGAGAGTTGAGAATGGAGCTGATCTTTCCGAGGTCCACTTTGGCCAGATCGACTCCCAGAGGAGTGGTTGGAGCACTTGTGACTTTAGCATGCACAGGAGTCACTGGGGCTGTGGTGACAGCAGCAGCAGCAGACACAACGGGCTTAGAAACCGTCGTAGGCGTGGTTGGAGGTTTTGACGTTGTCTCTGACTTTAAAGTCTTGGAAACAGAAGGAGAGGACTTGTCTTTCTTTTCATCTATAAGGAAAAGAAGATAATTAATAAAAACATAAGGAAAAAAGATCATTAATAAAAACCATTAAATGAGTCCAGAAAGCTTAAAGAACTACTGGTCACAGCCAAGAAAAATACCATGACTGTATAAAAGCAAAATATTTAATAAACAGTAGTCCCTCGTTTATCGCGGTTGTTTGGGACCACGCCCACCCGCGATAAGTGAAAAACCACCAAGTAGGGATACAGTAGTCCAAGTTCAAGTTCAGTAAACTTTGTTATGACATGTGCCAGGCTGCAATCACACTTATCACGTTACTCCCAATTTTCCTCCTTAAATAATTTAAATTTAAATACTGTAACATTTTAAATAAACACTCCATGCAGCATGGACTGTTTATTTAAAATATTACAGTATTTAAATTTAAATTGTAGAGAAGAGAAGTGCAGCAGGACATCAAAGGGATGTCACACAGCTTCTGCTCGTCAGCACGGAGCAGAAATGTACTTCTTGATCAATTAAACTTCAACAAATGAAAATAGAAGTTCTAAAAAATTAAAAAAACAACACTTTTATATTTTGTAATTATGATGATTTTTACGATGTGACATACTTTGAATTTTAAGTTGGAAGACAAAAGTCAATCGGTGCATCTGGACAGCACCCTTCACAAAGCTGCAGCAGGAAAAATGTGTGGTGGCAGAGAAGGAAATCAGCTGATCAGCTGCATGAGGGAGCGTTCCCTTCCACTTTTTGCCTTCACACATGGTGCAAAATCATTTAAAATAAAATAAACAACCCATGGCTCATCCATCAATCAGTTAACTGTGTCATGTCCAATCTTACTTTGAAAATCTGCGATACAGCGAACCTCGCAATAAACTAACCGCGAAGTAGCAACAGTTAGTACCATAATTCAGCTGCTCATCTAAAAAAACTCTGCTGTGACTAACCTACTGCTGGAACAACATCTGCCTCCTCCTCAGACAAATCCATGTCCTCTGTGTCCCTGTTGTCACTTTGTAAATCTCCTTCATCCATAGCTTTGCCATCCAGCTCTGGATCCACCTGAGCTCTGCTAACACCCATTTCCAGAAAAGGGGAATCAGATCCAGTGGGCGATGGGGCGTCTTCAGAAGGCGAGGGGATGGGAGAGTCCTCAGGACCGGGCAGCGTTGCCTTGAGAGAATCCAGCTTTCTTTTAAGACTGGTTACACGGTTGGCAAAGGCATTGTATGCCTGAGGAGAGTGGTAGAACAAATATAAAACAAAAAAAGATGTGAGAAAAAAGCCGAATATGAAAGTTCTTTTAAAACAATAAAACAATATAATTGACAAATCAAAAATCCTGATCATGCACTAATATTGCATCATCTTTAAAATACACATTACTCACATTAGCCACAATTTTTACTTCTTTGTACTGCATTTCATAGAAGATGTCTGCATTTCCCAAATCTTCCAGCAGAGATGGACCATTTTTCAACTCCTTCTCCAGGAAACTGATGAAGTCCTGCAACTTCTGACTGCCATCTTCAAAATCTTTGGTAAACTTGTTTCCTCCTGTTTTATCTAACAAATGAGACATTATTGTCAAACATAAGGTTTCCTCAAGAGTCCATAGAAACAGATATAAACACGCCAGTTGAGACATTTTTTTAATTTGCCTGAAGATGCGACTGAGTTCGGTTTTAATATTATAAAAAAAATTTTTTAATAAAGTAAAAGATTTAGTACAAGGTAGTGTATGTTTAATACATTGTTTTCAATCAAAATATCAGTTAAAAAAATAATTAACTATTTTTGTTGAGTAGAAACTTATTAGTTGCCATAGCAACATCACTCAACATGTTAAACTGGCCTTGGCGCTGTGATAGCATGTTGCTTGACCATTTATCATTCAGAGTGTGATACGGGACCATCAACATAACAGAATACTACCTTAAGTATTAAGTTCACTCACTGCATTTGTCTTTTCTATAGTATCTTGGACAAAGTTTGTACATTTGTTATTGTCAGAGCTAGACCTGTCACGATAACAAATTTTGCTGGACGATTAATCGTCTCAGAAATTATTGTGATAAATTTTTTTTTTTCATTTAGCCTTTATTTATACAGGTTAGTCTCATTGAGCCACGAGAACTCATTTTCAAGAGAGACCTGTTTAGGGAGCACATGGTGGGGGTTAAGGGCCTTGCTCATGGGCCCAGAGTGGGGCAAATGAGGGTGGGGGCAAGTGTGGGTGTTTCACCTACCCCACCCACAATTTTGATGTTGTCGGGGCCGGGACGTGAACCGGCGATCTTCGGATCACAAGCCCACCTCTCTAACCTCTGCGCCACCACTCCACCAATAAATGATAATGTTGTTTGAAATTTGACAATAACTAGTAATTATTGTCAAATTTAAGAAGAAATTATGGTCAATTTGTTTTGTGTATAGTACCTTTTTTGACCACTGGATGTCAGTATAAGATTGTTTGAAGCGAAGGATGGATAGTGAGGGAGCGAGCAACGTGTCTCTAAGAAAAATGGGAGGGAGGCCCCTTGACGTGACATGGGCTGTCTCTCGTTCCTGCTTTTCGGTTCTCAAAATGGCGGACAATCTGTGTGGTTTGAGCTCTTTAGCATAGCATTTTTCACACAAAGCTTTAAATAAAAAAATAAATTAGTAAACAAGTTCTCAGCTTCTTTTTGCAGAGAAAAACAACGTTTTACACAAAGGCACAGGTTTCAACCGTGAATTTTGGAGTTTTGACAAGACGGAGGTTTTTTCCGGAGGTTGGCCAGTTAGCTTAGCTCGTAGCTTAGCTTCTCAGCTTAGCTGATTTTAGTGATTCAAAAACGCGATTTTGGATGCTTAAAATGGATTTTAAAGAGAAAAGAGAAAGGGAGGGGTCAGTGAAGAGCACCGGATTTGAGCCTTTTGTCATCCAGTGTCTTCAGTAGAAAGAGAGACACGAAGAAACGATAAAGCCAATAAATGAAAATGAGGTAGATAGTTTTCATTTATCATGCGATTAATTGATTTATTGTTTATTGCGACAGGCCTAGTCAGAGTCTCAGATGGAGACTGTAAGATGTGTTATCATATACAATCTCCAAAGCATGTTTTTTGGTGAAAACTTGACAAATTTCAGACCTTCAATTCAGTATAGACTTTATCTTTAACCATTTTAGGACTACAAAACATTTGTGCTAAAAACATACTACTGCTAAACAACCGATTGATGTTTTTGGAGTTTCTCTGTGGTATTGCTCTGAGCAAAAAGATGCTTTGTGATTATATGGAAAATGTATCATCTGATATTAGGACCTTTTTTGTTAGCCACTGGAAATAAAATAAAATAAAATAAAATAAAAAGCTGATGTGCATTATCCACAAAATGAAACAGAAATTAATATCACTGAAATACTTATCAGAAACATATAGATCTGTGCAGAAACTGGTTATTTCTATAGTTTCTGTGAGTAAATCACTTTCAGCAGATATGCACACATTAGATTAAGCACAGTAAATGACTGGTACACCATCACTGACAATGAGAAAACTTGTCTTTTGACAATCTGAGGGCTTATAAAAATGTCAAGTTTAAGGCTGACAATATAAAAAAGATTTGCAGCGATACAGAAACTCGTGTCGTGACATCTGACCTTTCAGCCTCTTGAAGGCCTCGGCGTTGTAGGCGTCCAGCCTGAAAGATGAGAGCTGCTTCTCCCTGAACTCTTCTTCAGCAGCAGCATGCTTCTGTCTCGACAGCTGCTCTATGAGCGAGTGGGGCTGGAAAAACAAGTGACAATCAGTCGAGGTGATGCTCCATAACTTTGTTTTAGACACATTTCTAAGAGGAGGGGAAAACAGATCAAACTTACTGTGAACTCTGCAACAATCTTGGACTTCAGGGCTGCTTTAGTGCTGGACGGAACTAAAGAATAAAAAATACACTTTTAAAACAAACTATTTAAAAATGCCAACATTTTTCAGTCAGGTCATCTGGACAGTAGGAATGTGCGATATGGCATAAAATTCATATCACGATATGTATTGTGAAGGGTGGCGATAACGATATATATCGCAATATGTTTTTGGTATAAAACTTGCTAAAAAAAGCATAGTGTCCTTTTGTCATTATATTTTGAATTAAGAAAATTCCACTACTAGGTCCAGAGAGTTTTTAAATAATAAACAAATCAAGTATTAGGCTTCTTTCTTGTAGTGCAAAACAGTGCAAAATATATCAAATGCAGTTTTAGCCATATGTTTTAAACAAAAGAAACCGTTAACTTTTAACAGTTTCTAATTTTACTTAAGAAATGAACAGCAACAGAGCAGCATTTTGCACTGAAACACTTCACCCTCCAAACAGACTCCTTCTGCTTTAATGGAGAGCCGACACAAAACGAGTCTGTGGCTTTGACCAGAGGGTCTCGCAGTAAAATCACACAACACAGCGTTCTTTGCACAGATCAGAGAGCAGGTTTCTCTAAAGCTGACCAACGCTTACTTTAACTTTCGATGAAAAAAAAACTTTCGACGGAACACAGCGTTTTGTGCATACGTCGAAATACGGCAACACTATGGCAAGCCGGCTGTAGTTAGCTTGTAGCTTCGCTACTTAGCGCTCGAAGAAAAGACTTTAACGCCACTTGCGCACAGTTTTCAACTAAATAAAAGTAACGATTAAACTGACGACTCTGATTTTACATCAGACACAGCATTGCTGCGGTTAGCCAGTAAAAGACAGATCTCTATCGTAGGCTAAATTTCTATCGTTTCTACCATGTACCGTTTATTTCGCGCATTCCTACTGGACAGTTTCTTTTTTTGTGCTGAAACGTTTCGCCTTTGATCCGGAAGGCTTCACCAGAAACTGTCCAGGTGACCTGACTGAAAAATGTTGGATTTTATACCTGGATTATTGAGCATGGACTTTGTTATTTATAAATGTTTTTAATTTACAATGGTGCAAAGCTTGTTAACATTTTATCGTTGTCCCATTGCTGCATAAATTTGAACTTATCAAAAATTCACACATCATAAAACAGTTTAAACATGAATGAGAAAAAACTATTTTTCTATTGAACAGATGATCCATTATTTCTAACTAATTCTATATTTGATGCGATGTCGTGCAGCAGCAAGTACAAGAAAACGTTATTAATTTTATTTTGTATCAGTCCTGCACATAAATCTGGAGAAACGTGGTTCTGTTTTGTAATCTGGGACGACAGTACATAACCAACATTTCCTTCCTACAGAACAGCTACAACTCTGAGATTCTGCTAGGTTCCCCCTCACAGGAAGTTTCAAATTAATCTAAAGGTTTGAGCTCATGATGAATTCTCTGTAGAGAATTTGTGTGCAAATTTTTAAGTATGATTTAAAAGTCACTGTCTTATAATCAACTTTAAGCCATGCTGGAACTAAAACAGCAAACACACACCCGTGACATTACCACCACGTTTGAGAGAATTCTCATTGTTGCTTTTAATTTGAAGGAAAGGTTTTATTTAGTCATCTTCCTTAACATATTTAGCTGCCATTTTATT